AGAGGAGGGGGCAAATGAGGTGAGGGGGGGGGAGGGCAGAAAGAGGAGACGAAAGCAGACGACAGAATATTGCTAGAGAGCAGGAAAGGGGGTGAAAGGAGACAATTTTAGAGAAGAAAATGTTTCGGTTGCTACCCGGATTCGAACCCGGGACCTTTGAATGAGAGGCCATCACCTTAACCTCTAAGCCACGAGAGCCCCACACTCAGTATGACTTGGTGTTTGTCATATACTTCCTTTCCGTTACGTATTTACATATCCGTTACCTCAACTTCGTTTCCGAGATCATAATTTTACCTCTCCGTTACCAACACTTTCAAGGGTTATAAAATGGAAACCGTTAATACAATGCCATTACTTGTGGATTCCAGCACACGCCCATGCTGACCGCTGTATGTATAGGAGGTTTTATGCATATATATGGTTTTGTTTCCAAATTATTTTAAAAAAATTGCAATAGACTTATAACAGTTTTCGCTTCTCGGTCCTACTATAGTGGAATATGAAACGCTTAATATAAACAAAATGTATTAAATGACATACAGCCCCAGTGATTGACCTGATTGAACAATTAAACTCCAATAGTTGCATGTTTTGTCCAGAGTTTCCAGTCAACGGCGTATATTAAGTTGCTAACGAAAAAACCCCAAAACATTCTGGAGCACAGAGCGTAGATAGAGACCTATATCTTCGCTATTGTTCAGAATTAAGATTCAATATTTTACACCATAGTGGCGAAGACATGCCCAATTCATTATTCAAAAATTGAGCGATAACATGACAACTTCATTTTCTTTTTAAAGAATGCTATGTCAAATTTCTACAATTTTTTTAAAGTCCCATATTTATATCATTTATATACATTTTGTTTATCTGTTACTTCAAATAATTATTTCAATCATAATATCTAGCTTTTATTTTTTATTACTCTTTTATAGGCCCAGAAAACCAGAGAAGAAAGGTAAGAGTAAACAATGATGAATCAGATTCTAACTTATGTGAATTGAAAGTGCTGCAGACACTCTCAACACACACGGAATTTGATACCTACCTTCCTACCAACCAACTTACCTACCTATCTACCCATGTTCCTAACTACACTAATAAAAAATGAAAACTTAGCCACCTACCTACCTTCCAATCTACCTACCTGCCTACCTACCTACCTACCCATCTATCTACCTACTACCTACCTACATACTATCTACCTACCTACCTACTTACCTGTCTGCCTACCTATATACCTATATACTTACCTACCTACCTTACTGCATGCTCACCTATCTCACCTACCTCACAACATTGAAACAAGAAGGAAAGTCAGTGGAAAATAAAACACGTTTCCAAACAAATTAACTCTTAAGATACGAAAAACAGAACATTCAGCTTGATAACGATTCCCCATCCTTTTTTTTCTTCTTTCCTTTGTCCAAAGGTCGCACAAGAGAAGAACTGTATACGACCGTACATTATGTGGACAACGGCGGTCATGACTCGCTCACGATCGAAAGAAACAAAAGAGTAGCCACTTCATCTGTTGCCACACAGACAAACGATAATGGAACATGTCACGAATACGTATGGTTGGCTTCACAAGGCGCCCCCAGAGAAGAGAAGAAAGGTGATGGGTTTTCTTTTTCTCTTTCTTTTTTTTGGGTAAGTGTTTTACGGCGCTCGCAACTGCATAACGTCACCTAATATATATATATTTATAAATAAAGTGAACTTGGGAGGCTTTGTGCTCAAACTCCTGCCTTACTACCAAACTCACACCTTTGAAACTTGGCAGGCGTCCACAGCATCCATGTGGCTAGGATCTAAATTTTAAAAATCTCCGCAAACTGCTTTCCCCGATTTTTCCAAAATGCTTTGTTTCGCCCACACAGAGTTTTAATCTTGAGAAATTCCGTCTTCTGAGACGCCATTGTAAACAAGTGAGGTTTCTGTTCACTAGCCGTGTCCACAGATTCTACATCTTTGAAATTCTGGAGTGTACAACTACGAAAGCGGAATAGAGAATCTATCTATACCATCTATTATACATTTGGCAACTTGGAAACACTTGTGTCACTTTTCTCTCAAGATTTATTGCTCCATTCCCGTAAAGTGTAAATATAGTAGGCCAATGGCTTTCATTTGATGTTAATGCACCGATCATACCTTTCATCGAAGGGGGGCCCAGCTAGCATAATATAAGCGTATATTGCCATAAAATAAACACCAATCCGATAAGAAAATAAAAATCAAAGCAGTAAACATTCAGTTTCTCTATAACCTTATGCTGAAATTGCTGAATTTGGTAGATGTTTGTTAAGGCAGTAAACAACCGAGCAGTGCTGTAGGCCCAGTACAATTAATAGCTACCAATTTGAAAAATACAGAAGAAAGGAAAAAGAAAAGAACACAAGACAATTTTGATAATAAATAGTCATTGCCCCTATACAAGATGATTTATACTGTCTTCCAAAATTCTTGAATAAGTCTATTTTAAATCCAAACATTCAGCTCAATGAATATTCGTCATCATATTTTGTTTTGTTCCATCTGTCCATAGGCCGCTCAGAAGAAGATCCGCATTTGGGCGTAGATGTGGACCAGAAATCGCCACGCGACGGTCATACCTCGGTCCCGATTGTACCAAACAAAAGAGTAACCTTTACACCTGACGCCACACAGACAACTGATGATGGGTCGTGTTACCTCAAAATGTCGCTGACCTCACAAGAGTCAAAAGAAGAGGAGAAAGGTGATAGTATAAGGATCGTATGTTGTCTGCCTGTTTGCTAACCTGCCTACCTGCCTGCCTGCCAACATAACTACCCATCTAACAACCTTCCCAAAAGACCTGACTACATTCACTCAAGAATGAAGGAAGGAATATCATAGAAAAATGAAACACTTTTCAAAACAAATTAACTCACAACATTGTGGCTGTTTAGGTTACATAGGGAGCCAATTAAGTTTTGAATTTGCCCGGGTGCCTATTCGTATCGATTTTGGACCATCAAGAGATCTTTAACAGGATAGTCTGGACCGTCTGACGTGTGTTATGGATGTTCATATATTTTTAAAATACTATTACTTCAAAGTGTTTCAGTCTCATCAATATATTTTATGGTTCTTTTATATTTCCGGAAAACTAGATGAAATATGCACAATGATAAGTTACATTCTCTTTTATGTGAACTGGAACTACTGAAGGCGCTTTCTCCTTTCTATCTCAATAAAATAAGTACCAACGTTATTAGAGGTGAAATATCCCAGCAACGAACATACAGTTTCTCTATAATAATACTATTATGAGGTTTGGTAGATCATTTTAGGAGAGGAAATAACGGAGCAATGCAGCCTGCAGGCCTGCTGAACCGCCGTAATAATCACCATTGACTGTTGTACCTACGGGAACAGGCCAGGTCAAGAACACACTTTTGTGATCAAAAGACGTGATGTGCATCACTTTTAAAGCAACACGCACCTTGGGTTTCTCCATTCTGCGGACTGTCTTTTTCCGTTCTAGATCCACAAGAATTCACCCATGTTTTATCTTCTGTTATGATTCTTCTTAAAAATTCTGACCCTTTATTTTATGTGACTTTACCTTCTCTCCCTAAATCAAGGAAAGACAAAAGGAGCATCGATTTGAAGACGATGAAGAAATAATTTATTGTGCCCGAAACAAAATGTGCTGCGCCAAGCACTCTTGCCGAAGCGGACATGGTCTGGTCACTGCGTTTGACCGCTGGTTTCACCGGTTGTTGTTTTGTTTTGGATATATAACGTGTTTCTGTGAAACAAAATGTTATGTCCGTAAAAGAAAAATTGCTGACTTTACAGAACAGAGAAACTTATTTTTGGGACTCATCTCTTAGTTTTAGTCCACAAGATCATTCCCATTGTCTTCCAAAGTTCTAAATTAGTTATATTATAGGAAATACGAACATTCAGCTTAGTGGAAATTCCCCTTCCTATTTTTTCATTCCCTCTGTCCATAGGCCGCTCAGAAGAAGATCCGTATTTGGGCGTAGATGTGGACCAGAAATCGCCACGCGACGGTCATACCTCGGTCCCGATTGTACCGAACAAAAGAGTAACCTTTACACCTGAAGCCACACAGACAACAGATGATGGGTCGTGTTACCTCAACGTATCGCTGACCTCACAAGAGTCAAGAGAAGAGGAGAAAGATGATGGTATAAGGATCGTATTTTGTCTGCCTGTTTGCCTACCTAACTACCCATCTAACAACCTTCCCAACGACCTGACTACATTCACACAAGAATGAAGGAAGGACTGTCAGAGAAAAATGAAACACTTTTCAAAACAAATTAACTCACAACATTCTGGCTGTTTAGGTTACATAGGGGCCAATTAAATATGAAAGCTAAGATGCCAGCATCCAAGGCTTCCTTATAGCCTAACTCTTTTTTAAAAATTACAAGATGATTTCCATTGCCTTCCAAAATTCTTAATTAGGTCTATTAGAATTCCAAACATTCAGCTCAGTGAATATTCGTCATCATATTTCTTTTTCTTCCATCTGTCCATATGCCTCACAGAAGAAGATTCGTATTTGGGCGTAGATGTGGACCAGAAATCGTCACGCGACGGTCATACCTCGGTCCCGATTGTACCGAACAAAAGAGTAACCTTTACACCTGGCGCCACACAGACAACTGATGATGGGTCGTGTTACCTCAACGTGTCGCTGACCTCACAAGAGTCAGGAGAAGAGGAGAAAGGTGAAGGTCTGAGGATCGTATGGTGTCTGCCTGTTTACCTGTTTCCCTGCTTGCCTACCTAACTACCTATCTAACAACTTTCCCACCTACGTAACTACTTTCAAACAAGAATGAGCGAATAAATGTCAGAGAAAAATGAAACACTTAAAAAAAAAACAAATTAGTTATCAACATTGGTGGCTATTTAGCTTACATCTCTCTCTTGCCCTTTTTAACTCCCAGTGGAGCACAGGCCATCAACAACATTACTCCAGCGAAGCCTGTCTTGAGCATCCTTTTCTATCTGTTTCCATGATGTCCCCGCTTTTTCAATTTCCTCTTGTACCGCTCGCCTCCATGTTATCTTTGGTCTTCCCTTCTTACGCTTTTCTTGTGGGTTCCACGTTAAAGCCTGCCTGATGATGCTTGTCGGGGGTCTCCTCAGGGTATCTAGCCTACGAACGGAGCCAATTAAATTTGAAAACTAAGATGTCAGCATCCAAGGTTTCCTTATAGCCTAACTCCTTTAAAAAAATAATGTTGGCATAAAATAAACACCAAACTGATAAGAAAAGAAACCTTGAAGCAATAAACACACAGTTTCTCTGTAACATTATGCAGAATTTGCGGAGTTCGGTAGATGTTTATTATGGCCGTTACCAATTGTTCAGTGCTGTAGGCCCTGTACAATTAATTGTTACCATTTTGAAAAATACAGAAGAAAGGAACAAGAAAAAAACTCAAACAATTTTGATAATAAATAGTCCTTGCCCCTATACAAGATGATGTCCATTGTCTTCCAAAGTTCTTAATTAGGTCTATTTGAATTTCAAACGTTCAGCTTAGTGGAAATTCCCCTTCCTATATTTTCATTCCCTCTGTCCATAGGCCGCTCAGAAGAAGATTCGTATTTGGGCGTAGATGTGGACCAGAAATCGCCACGCGACGGTCATACCTCGGTCCCGACCGTCAGAAACAAAAGAGTAACCTTTACACCTGACGCCACACAGACAACTGATGATGGGGCGTGTTACCTCAACGTGTCGCTGACCTCACAAGAGTCAGGAGAAGAGGAGAAAGGTGAAGGTCTAAGGGTCGTATGGTGTCTGCCTGTTTGCATGTTTGCCTACCTAACTACCTATCTAGCAACTTCCCCACCTACTTAACTACATTCACAAAAAGAATGAATGAAAGAATGTCAGAGAAAATGGAACAATTTTCGAAACAAATTATCAACTCTCAACATTGCCGCTATTTAGCCTACGTACGGAGCCAATTAAACTTGAAATATAAGATTTCAGCGTCAAGGGCTCCCTATAACCTCACTCCTTTCTTATCCTTCACCTTCACTTTCACCTATCCAGTAGACTGGATGTCCGTCGGGGCGCTTTTGAAGATTTGGCCACTAGCTTTCTCTACTCCTTCCGGTCTTCAGCTTTTCTGAGCATGTCTTTGAGTTCCAGGCCTCTCCATTTTTTAATGTTGTCCTCCTAACTCTTTTTCGGTCGTTCTCTACTCCTTTTTCCCTGGACGCTGCCTTGCATGATTATCTTGGCAAAGCCGGATGAACGGGTGATGTGCCCATACCGTTTCCTGACCAGAGTGAGAAGGTTAGCATAAAATGGCCTTTTTGATCCGTTGTTTGACTTCATCATTTGTGATGTAGTCTTTGTTTGAGATACAAAAGACTTTATCCTATTGACGTAAAAAAACTCTCCACCAAACTGA